TTACGGAAAGCTACCGCCGCCCAGGTTCAGAAGGCATTCCGGGAACGGATACTGGGTCGGGTCGGCATCCCTCGGAAGTTCGTCTGCGATAATGGTACTCAATTTACCAGTCGCACTTTGAAAGAGTACTTCAGCGCGATAGGGGTAGAGGTCCAATATACTACCCCATACTGTCCACAAGAGAACCCTACCGAGAGGACGAATCGGACTGTCAAGACGAGCTGTTACCGGAAATAGCGCTCGCCATCAACGCAAGTGTATCAGACTCGACGGGATACAGTCCCGCCTTTCTGACGCAAGGACGCGAACCCAGACTCCCTACTATGTTATACGACGAGGTCTAAGGACCCCGCAGGAAAAGCGCTCCAACTCAGAGGAATCTTCGACATCGTCAGATCCAACCTCCAACGTCCTTCCCAAGAGCAAGCACGTCATTAAAACCTTCGACGCCGTGAGTGGAGACCGAAGCTCCCCTCTCGAAGGCAGCCGAAGGTTTCGCCTCCAAATTGGCCCCCAAATATGACGGTCCCTACACCGTGATGAGGTTCATATCCCCTAACCTTGTTCAGTTGCGACGCCCCGGAGAAAGACGTTCACGCTCCGCCAACATCAGCCAACTGAAACCCTATTACTCTCCGAGGCGTCACGAGAGGTTAAGTAGGATACAAGGTCATACGGTAATTTCTAAGCTGAATTGTACTAACACACCCTATGTTATTAGCTAAGTATTCTAAGTCGAGGTTTCACTGCACCGATAGGTAGGGAACTTAAACAATAAGGGTCTCGTATCTATAAGTTTAGTCTCCGCTTTCAGATGGAAGAAGTCATCGAGTTGTCGGATGGTTCCGACGATACTGAATCTTTTCATCACGACCTTTCTGATCGCGACGAGTGGGTCGCGGAAGGATACAGCGGAGGAGATTCGGACACATCGGAAGACGAAGAGGGAGAGATCGTAGAGGACCAGGTTACTGACGATGGCCAAGGTGAAGAAGACATACACGGCGGCGCTGAGTCTTCCGACGACCAGGAGCCTGGGGGTACAGGAAGGTCGCGGTTTGCGGGCATGTGGAGCCCTAAACCCGGCGAGACACGACGACCCGATCGACCTTCAGCAGCGTTCAACGTCGAGGACGACTCCAGCGAGCGACAGCGACGAACGCGACGAGGGATTACACGAGAGGTCGTCGCTCACAGGGGCCAGGGTATTACGCACCGCGAGAAGACGACGAACAGCCGTGGACCAGGCGAGATCCTCGAGGCGGTCACCCGCGATACACCGAGTCCCACCAACGTCCCTCCATTGAACACTCGTGTCATCGTACGGTCGAAGACCAAGTCAGCCGCTGGGAAGGGCATGTCGCGATGATGCGCATCGAGGTCAAGTCGGTCGTGTTTAAGACACCCTGGATACACGCCGAAGGTCCTTACGTAGACGAACCTCCATCACCACCGCTGCCCCCCGCTCTGAATTTTGACGCGACGTTCCGTCCCCAGGCAGAGGTCCCGACGTCCCCCCGTCAGCCGCCGTGCTCGCCGAAGAAGACCCGCACGCAGGAAACGCAGACATCCCCGACTTGCTGGCAGCGTTCGCTGAAACAGACCCGTGTCCAGTCTGTCCAGACGTCGCCAACTTACCGACAGCGTCCAGGCGGCCCAGACATCCCCGGTCCGACTACGACGCTCACCACGGGAGACCGGAGGGCAGGAGGCGAAGCGTTGCCGCGTGAGTTCACACCCCGGGACTCACCACGTGAAGTATTTTACGGAGTGCGAGTTGACGACCGACAGCGAGGACGGGGTAGAAGATCGCCCCCTGTTCCGTCGGGTATTCCAGAACTCGGAGGCAGCAGAGGCCAGTACGGCAGACCCGGAACCGTCGGACGAGGCCGAGGAGGACGACGTCGCGGTCCAATCGACGTCACACCAATCCCTGATCTGCGCACCGCCAGGAGCACCACTGACCGAATGGGAGGACGGAGTTCTCGATCAGGTCTTGACCGAGATCCAGGGGACCGGTTGGGACGGGTCGTTCATAGAGGAGTTGACCTCATCCATAGCAACTCCGGAAGTACCTCGAGACGAGTTAGCCCCGTTACCTGAAGGTTGGACTGGGACGGGCAAACTGCGGCGATTGCCGACATCGGCCATTCGTCTGATCGCCGAGAGGGCGGCCGAACAAGCCGGACGAGGACACCGCGTTCGCTTCGCCGTTAAGGGGATGGATTGGCATTACATCGACACCGTGAAGAGCGACGGACGCTCATCATCAGCCCCCGGTACGAAAGGGAGGGGTGTGACGATCCCGCCTGACGGCTAGGCCGCCACAATATATATTTAAGCAACAGTTGTCTATGTTTCACATTATTACCATTAGTATGTAAGAGATATAAAATGAAGTATTATAATTTAGTAATGGTTAAGCGAACATTTTTGGGTATAAAACCAAAATAGGTCAAGTTTGGTTCCGCACCACCCGCCCGAGGTGGCAACCATAGAGAAAAATACTGGAAAATAGAGAAAATACCAAACCAACCTGGGTGGGAAAGGTCCAAAAGGATGAGAGGGTCACACGGCGGTTTCCGGCACGCTCTCGGCTCTTGGACTTCGAAACGATCGGTCGCGCACGCGGACAAAATAAGTGAAGAAAACACGTGTGAAAGAAAACGCGGTCGGTAGGAAATAAGGTTAGTGAATCAGTGTAATCGGCGCAGTGAAGCACAGGGACGATTTAAAAACAACGAATTAAACTGAGTGAACTCGTACGAAAAGAAGCGTCGAGCCGGATTGTTATACATTTTATTTTTACCCCGTACCCCTTTGTTCCCCGAGTGATTCAGGCCATTAGTGACTGATGACCCAATTGGAAGCGGTAAATTATTTGCACCATATACATACACGTTATCCCGATCTACTGAATTTCATCCACTAACCTGCCTGCATAGTGAGGCGGAAGATCCCCTCATTCTCCTACTTAAATAAAAGGGGTCTGCATGTTCACCATATAGTCCTAGAAGCTTTACCCATAGGCTTAACTTTAGTATGGGTCGCTCCGTTAATTCGCTGAGCGTCCTCTTTGTGCGGCTACTTGACTCCTCCTCCCTCCTTAGCTGTTGCTAGACCGCTACCATCCATCGGGATTTGTGGGAAGTTTTAAGACTCCTCAAAAAAGTAATTAAGATATAAGCATTCATTCGTCTTTGACTTTCAAAGTGAACGTTCGTGTTTTTTTTCTGCGCTTCGAATTTTGTATTTTGTTTTCGTTTATTCCCATCGGTGGGTTTTATCAAAACAATTTTAATTTTCTTCCGGTTATTTAAACATAAATTTAAACTCCGTTCGCTTCGCGAGTGCACTTTGTATTAATACTAATAAATTGTTTTAGTTTTCGTAATTCTTATCTGTGTTTTCTTTTCTTATATCCCCGCCGTTTCTCTTTTGTGCATGCACTTCAACTTATTTACGCTCCCGCTCTCTTCCTCTCTTTGCTTTGAAAGTTCTAAGCGTGCAGTTTCTGCGCTCTTGCGGTACTTATAACTGCTCGCTTATAAATTTCAATTCGCTTTCTTGGTACAGTGGTCCCAATAAATAAAATGAATAATAAAAATTTAGTCTGCTTCTGCAAAAAATGCAGCCTCGTAATCAGAGCTGACCAGTCTAATATGACTTGCTGGCTGTGTGAAAATATGGTGCACACTAAGTGCGCCGGTTTTACTGGCCGGACAAGTGATGACCTTTCAAAGGGGCCCAATTTGCAGTTTTGTTGTGACGCGTGTGTCGAGGTTGCGAACGAGATGAAATCGTTCATACACCAAACTAAAGGCGGCCTGATGGGACTGATTAGCTGATTCGGAGTTGCTAGAGATAGTTTTCGCCGAGCTGATGATCTCCTCTCTGCGCTGGACTCGCAGTTTAATAGTCGTAAGCTATTAGAAGAGTCCCCTAAGCGCAAAAAGGCCTCTGGTGGTAAGGAGCAAAAGGGGAACACCCCGCAACCGAAATCAAAAGATCAACAGAGCATTCCGGCGGATCAACACCTGATTGCAGCAAGCCCTTAAATGTTGCTAAGATCAGCATGCAACCAGGGACTTTGAAGAATTCCGATTTGTGGATTCACAATTAGCGGATCCACCTATCTTTTAGAATGTAGCATCACTACCACAAGGGACTACTGAGTCAGGACAACCGGCTCAAGTTCGTTTTGCAGAAACAATGTCTGCTCCACCGAAATCCCTTTCAGTGGTTCCACTAAAGAAAAAAATTTTCGTTTCTCGGCTTTCCCCTGATCAAACATCTTCTGATGTATTGTCTTATATACAAGACAAAACTAAAGCCGATTGTAATAGTGTAAAGGTGGAAAAGTTTAAGTTTTCTTATGCTAGAGACATTTCATCTTTCAAGATAACTGTCCCTAACGAGCTTTTTGAAGCTATATGCTCGGGCGACTTTTGGCCGGATAATATGGTTGTAAAAGAGTTCGAGGCTAAGATAAAGAAGAAGGGCCCCGTGGGAGTAAAACTTCCTAGTCGAGGCCAAACCAGCGTACCAATTTCAAAAAACTAACTTCTAACCTCCTTCTTTCCTATCAGAATGCAAGAAGTTTGCGTAGCAAACTCATTGTTTTCCGATAGCCTTTCCTTTGCATCTCATATTATTGTTATTCAGTCATTGAGATTTTTCAACGACTATCCTTTAAACTCGAAATAATAACGCTTAACGATATAATTAGTTAAACGTTATAATAAGAATTTTTATTGTTGCGGATAATATTGGAGGATACAGAAAATATATGCCAATATATTGAGCGCGCGCAATGAATGTTCATGAGAGAGTGATCCCGCTTTAGATAATTAGCGCAGATAAAACTCTCTATCTGACGATGCTGCCGATAAGCGCTGAAGTCGAGCGGCCGAGAGAGAGAGAGAGAGTCGGCTTGCGACCAACGAAGGCGAGAACATAAGCAATTAGTATGTAATACGAAAGCTTTGTTTGAGTTTTATCTATAAATTAGGTGGCGGCTGCTGCTTGTCCCGACATTCTCCCCCCAGTTGGGCCTGGCTTCCAACTTCGTCCTTAAGGGGCAAAAGGAACAGCTTAGATACTGCGCGCTTGGTGGTTCCAGATGAAGTTCTGATCACCGCCACTCGAGCCACTCCGTCCCTACCAGATACCAGTTCAACGATTATTCCGAGCGGCCACTTCTTCGGGGGTAGGTTCTCGTCCTTGACCAGCACCACATCGTTGACTGCCAAAGCAGGGCCGGATTTAAGCCATTTGGAGCGTTGCTGAAGGAGGCTTAAGTATTCCTCTTTCCATCGGGACCAAGAATTGAGGACCCCACAGCCCGGTAAAAATGATGCTTGGCAGTTTTGACTGCCGCTTCCCAGAGTCCGCCGAAGTGCGGAGATCGAGGAGGAATAAAATGCCATTCGATGGACACAATCGTCGCTGATAAAGAGCCGCCGCAGCTCACTTAGCTCGTTTCTGGCTCCAACCAAATTTGTAGCGTTGTCCGACCAAATGTGTTGTGGCTTTCGGCGGATGCATATAAACCGTTTTAGTGCCTGTAAGAACGCAGTAGTGGATAAATCCTTTACGAGCTCCAAGTGGACGGCCTTTGTAGCAAAACAAATGAAGACGCTCACGTAGCATTTTACCGGAGCCTTATTACGAACTTCTGGCTTGTAATGGAATGGCCCACAAAAATCCACGCCAGAGACTCCAAAGACTTGGCAACCGTTGACTCTTTGTTCCGGGAGATCAGCCATAATGTGCTCCAGCAGGCGGGGCTTGGACCGGAAGCATCGGATGAATTTGTGCAACGCCTTCGTCACCGTTTTCCTCCCCCCAATTGGCCAATATTGGGATCGGATCAAAGCCAAAAGAGCACGAGGTCCCGTGTGTAAATTTCGCTCATGGAAATCAACAATTATAGCAAGAGTGACTGGGTGGCTTCTAGGGAGTATAATTGGATGACGACTATCAAAATCCAACGGCGAATTCTTCAGGCGACCATCTACACGCAGTAGACCGAACTTATCCAAGAAGGGTGAAGATGTGGCAAGTACGCTGGACGACGATATCTCTTTGCCATTCTGAAGCGACCTTATATCATCCCAAAAATGCACCCGCTGTACCAACCGCAATAAAAGTTGAGTTCCAGACTTGATATCTCCTGCGGTGATTCCCTTGTGGCGTATTCGATGACAAAACTTGTGCACATAAGCAAATACCCGCTGCAGAGATGAGAAGGAATTAGCGTACTTGGAGGCAGCTATTATGACATACGGCGACTGAATGAGCAAAACCTTTGCGCGCAGTTCCAGGGTCGGCCTCTCAGCTGGGACCGCAACTGGCCACTCATCTTGAGGACCAAGAAGAAACGGAGGACCATGTGCCCACAGCTCATCAACGATCAACTCATTAGGAAGAGCACCACGGGACACGATGTCCGCCGGATTCAAGGACGTGGGAAAATAGCGCCACTCCATCGTTCTGGTTAACTCCTGGATCGTCGCAACTCGATTGGCAACGAAAACATTAAACTGGGCAGGCTCCTCTCAAATCCAGGACAGCGCCACTGCAGAATCGCACCAACAATAATGCTTCCCAGCGTACATCTTTAGATTAGCTACTTCTGATATAAGCCGCGCCAGCAATTCTGCTCCTGATAGTTTCAGTTTCGGCACCGTAACAGTCTTTAGCGGCGCCACTCGAGACTTCGAGCAAAGCAGGTGACTTCCCGCTCCTGTACCCCTTGAGACGACATAAATACAGGCACCATAAGCCTCGATGCTAGCGTCACAAAATCCATGAATCTCCAAATCGGTCGGTGATGATAGTGACCATCTGGGAAAATCGGCCCTCTGAGCCATAGCGAAGCTGCAGCAAATTTTTTCCCAATCAGAGTGAAGAGCCTGAGGAAGACTCTCATCCCAAGACAACTTCTCACGGCACAGCTTCTGAAGAAAGATCTTTGACCTTGTGATGACTGGCCCGACAAGTCCTAAAGGATCATACAACCGGGCGATTGAGGAAAGGACGATGCGCCTAGTTGGATTTAAGGTTGACTGAAGGCCCTCAAATGAAAATAGCAAGCGATCAGTAGCAGGATCCCAAGCGAGGCCCAGAGTTTTCGTAAAGTTGCTGCCGTCATCAAATCTCAGAAACGACTCCCGATCCTCTTCCGGCACATCAGACAACACCGCAGCTACGTTGGAGCACCACTTTCTCAAGCGAAATTGACCCTTGGCAAGGATCCCTGATGTTTGCTGCATGATGTTGACAGCTTCAGCCACAGAAGCACCTCCAGAAATTAGATCGTCCACGTAAAAGTCGCGTCGCAGAATCTCGGCCCCCTTTAGAAACATCGACTGCTCATCCTCGGCCAATTGATGCATTGCTCGCACTGACAAAAATGACGCTGGTTTTGTTCCATAAGTTACAGTGTCAAGTTTAAAAACCTGCAACTCGTCCTGGGTGGAATCCCGCCAAAGGATACACTGTAAATGGCTGTCCTCAGGGAAAACTCTGACACATCGGTACATTTTGCAGATATCTCCTGTAATGGCCACCCGATGGTAACGGAACCTTAACAGGATGTGAAGCAACTTTGGCTGTATAACTGGGCCGGACATCAACACGTCATTCAACGAATACCCAGAAGTGGTAGCAGCAGATCCATCGAAAACAACCCTGAGCTTGGTTGTTGAACTGTCCTCTTTCAAAACACAGTGGTGAGGTAGGAAGTACTGAGGAGTGAGGCTCGCATTAGCAGGAACTGCAGACATATGGCCCAACTCCAAATACTCTTTTATAAACTCAGCATACTGATTCTTCAATTGAGGGTGACGACTGAGCTTCCTTTCTAGAGAGAGAAATCGACGCACGGCTTGGGGATACGATTCTCCCAGCAAATCAGAACTGCATTTCAACGGCAGCCTCACAGCATAAGCGCCTGACTTGAGCCGAGTAGAGTGTTGCACAAAATGCGCTTCGCAATCCAGCTCTTCCTTTGTCCACTTCACTATTGGTTCGGAGCAGTCCTCTATTTCCCAGAACTCTTCGTGACATCCTTGCAGGCTGTGGCTACGAGTGACCTTCTCTCAACAGGTGAACCGCCTCCACACACAACCCATCCAAGTCGGGTTTTCTGCAGCAACGGTAGGCCAGCTGAGAGCTGAACTTGTCCAACACACAGCAATTCATAAAAGAGGCTGGCTCCGATGAGCAAATCGATACGCTGTGGTCGAAAGAATTCTGGATCAGCGAGATTAAGATTGCATGGTATATTCCAATTGGAGACATCTAAGCAGAAACTAGGCTGGAGATCCGTAATGTTGCCAGCGACGACTGCACTAATAAGAGACGAGTATTCTGAACAGTGAGAACGTAGGAGCACATCAACAGAGAATCCGTCCGTCGCATAGCCGGTATCGCCAATTCCAGACACCGACTTGAATGATTTGCATTTACGCAACTGCAGCTGATTAGCCAATCGGGACGTAATCATGTGTACTTGAGATCCAGAATCCAGAAGCGCTCGGCAAGGAACAAAAATACCAGCGCGGCTCCTAACAAGTATGTTCGCTGTTGCAAGCAAAGCTATATCGCCGCTACGACCTTGGGCAATTAAGGCATTGACTGTGGATGGCGATGAGGCTAGAGGTTCAGAACCCTCGGATGAGGAGGAAATGGGTAAAGCAACTGGCAGATGGCCGCTAGAAGACTGCGAGTCCAGAAAATGCAGCAAACTGTGATGCCGTCTCCCACAGCTGTGGCAATTATTAGCGACGCAGTCTCGCAGGTGATGGCCGGTTCTGAGACATTTTCGACAAAGACCAAGTCGCCTAGCCTCGCCTAGGCGGCTCTCAGGGGACAACAGCAGAAACCTTGGACACGCAGGCACCTCATGGGACCTCCCAAAGCATAATATACAGGTAGCGGGAGGGGCATTAGTAATAATGAAGGCGGATCTATTGTTATTAGCAACTCTACGTCTTCCCACCTGAGTGCCTGGTGCGTATGCGGCCATGGCCACATCCACAGCCTCGAGAGTCCTGCATCGTTGCTCCAGGAATTCCGCCATCGAGTCCCACGTAGGAATAAGGTCTGAATTGATGGCAGTCTGGCCTTCCTCCCACTTCGCCTGGGTAGCTGGGTCCAATCTTTGAAGAAGCACCTGGACGATGATGCAGCCGGCAATTTGTTGCGTCATTCCCAAATTCTTCAAGGCCCGCATATGGGCATTGAACTTATCTGAGAATCCTCGTAGACCTGCCACTGAGCCACCTTCCACGACACAGAGGCCTAGAATCTCGTTCACATGAGCCTGAAATATTAAACGACGGTTACTAAATCGCTTTTCCAAAAGACCCAATGCAACGTCATAATTTTCCTCGGAAGTTACCAAGGACCGAACTGCTTCTAACGCTGAGTCGCGAACACAGGATCGTAGCCTCTGCAGCTTTTCCACCTTGCTTATATGTGGATTTCCGCCTACCATAGTTGAGAAGATAGATTGGAACTCAGACCACTCGGAGTATCCTCCACTAAAGGTAGGGAGCGGAATAGGCGGCAGAGCTTGAAAGCTGCGACTGAGCCCTGGGTCTGGCATAGAGGAGATCCCGTTGGTGAGAGTTGAGTGGGCAGCCATTTGATCAGAGCGTCGCAAGGTTTCGTGCTCTATTTCAGCGTGCATCGTCGCGACGAGCTCCGACACGGTCCATCGCAAGTCGCTGCCGATCTCCGAAATGTCTAATTCTTCAAGATTCCCGTGGATGGCCTTGAAGTCATCGTACACTGAGACTAACTGGCCATGACGCACGTGGAGCATGGCGTCCTCCACGCTTGAAATTGGGTGAAGGGCTCCTTGTATCCTCTTCAAATCCTGGAGGAGAGCATTGGCCTTGCATTTCAAAATAGCACTCCGAGGTAGAGTGGGTGAACCTGCGTCTGCCGCGCTGGCATCCATCGCCACTAGTCTCAAATTACGACCAATTTAACAAAGCTAAACTGCAGCGAAATTAGTATTATTATTTTTATTTATTTGTATTTTCGTATTATTTTATTATTTTTTTGTATTATTTATTATTTATTTTATTATTTAATAATAGTTTTAATTTGCTCGCGACGAATACAACCTGTCCCACTGTGCACGGCCGCTAAGCTGAAGCCAAATTTAATATTACAAATTGTTTAATAATATTATATAATAATATTTCGTATTTGACCACGGCGAACGCAATCTGTCCCACTGTGCACACAAGAACCGTACCCGAATTAGCGGCTGTATGTTTGTATAACGGTTTGTGCGCTGGCGAATGCACTCGAAAACGGAATGCATGTATGCATGTATGTATACGTAGGTAGCAGGTGCACTAAATAACGGACCGGGTGGCAATTGACGACCGGCATGCACTTTATAACTATTTTTGGTTATGAAACTTTATATGTATGTTTATTTATTTTAAACAATGATATGCACAGTAGTGTATATATGTGTATATTTTAGAAACTTTATTTTACTTTCGCGAATTAATAATTGTTTCAAAATATCACGTCGGGGTCACCAATGTTCAGTCATTGAGATTTTTCAATGACAATCCTTTAAACTCGAAATAATAACGCCGATATAATTAGTTAAACGTTATAATAAGAATTTTTATTGTTGCGGATAATATTGGAGGATACAGAAAATATATGCCAATATATTGAGCGCGCGCAATGAATGTTCATGAGAGAGTGATCCCGCTTTAGATAATTAGCGCAGATAAAGCTCTCTATCTGACGATGCTGCCGATAAGCTCTGAAGTCGAGCGGCCGAGAGAGAGAGAGAGTCGGCTTGCGACCAACGAAGGCGAGAACATAAGCAATTAGTATGAAATACGAAAGCTTTGTTTGAGTTTTATCTATAAATTAGGTGGCGGCTGCTGCTTGTCCCGACAATTGTGTTTACAGAAACTTGGTTAAAGCCGGAGATCTTTAGTTCCGAAGTTTTTCCAGGTAAGTACACAATATACGTCCCCCTAGACGGGGAGGTGGAGTCTTAATTGTAGTTGATTCAAACCTCCCGTCTGAGGAGTTATTTTTTGAGGAATTCAATACCATTGAATTTATTTGTGTAAAGTTATCGCTTCCTGGTAGCTCTATATACATAACTTGCTCATATATTCCGCAGTTGTCTGAACTTCCCAATTATTTAAATCACCTTTCCGTTATTAAGTCCCTTGCAAATAAGCTTTCCGATAGGGATTAGTTGGTAGTTCTAGGTGATTTTAATATACCTGGAGTTACTTGGTCCACTGAGGATGAATCGAATGTCTTACCACCTATAGCACAGCATGATTTTATTGATGGCCTGCTTGACATTTCTCTATCTCAAGTAAACCATGTTCGAAATTCATTAGGTCGCCTACTTCATATGTGTTTTGTTTCAAATCCTGAAAGTGTGTTTCTGTCCAGAGTAGCACCACTCACGCAACCTGAAGATCCATATCACCCAACAATCGAACTTTCATTTGATACAGGTAGAGTTATAGAAGAAAAATGAGAAAAATCCAAATGAATGCATTGTTTTTGCAAGGCAGACTTTCTGAGGCTACATAATTTTGTTTCTGGCTTTGATTGTTCTGATCTTTACTTATGCAATAATATGTCCGATGCAAATAATGTTTTTTACACTGCAATAAACCCATTTTTTAATTCCTGTGTTTCGTGGTACTATCCGTCAGTTTCCAACAAATCACCTTGGTTTAGCAAAGAGTTAACACACTTAAGAAATGTAAAGTCCAGACTTTTCAGGAAATATAAAAATACCGGTTCTCAATCTGTTTTTACTAGATATCTAAGTGCTCGGTCAAGATTTACCGTGCTTAATGCTGAGTGTTATAATAGTTACTTAAACCGTTGTAAGGTCCAGTTCTCTCAGGACCCGAAACAGTTTTATAATTTTGTTAACACCAAGCGTAAATCTAATTCTTATCCTTCCTCGCTGCCACAGATAAGGCAATAGCCGATTACACCATGTAGAAGTCAAACCTCATATTCTGTCCCACTTTAACAGAAAGCTCTCTTCTTTTGGATCTTCTTCGTATTAAGCCTGTTTATTCGCCGGGCCCGATGGTATTCCAGGGTGCGTGCTTAGGTATTGCGCTAAGGCCCTGTGCAAACGTCTTCACAAGTTGTTTACCTTATCTCTAGAAACTTCCCAATTCCCAAATATTTTTAAGGAATCATTTTTTATTCATCTTTTCAAAAAAGGTAACAAGTAAGAAGCCAGTAACTACGGGGGTATTTCTAAGTTGTCAGCTATTCCAAAGCTTTTTGAAAAAATCATTACTCCTCATTTGCAGCACTTTTGTAGATCAATCATTTCTCCGTGTCAACACGGATTTATTAAACGTAGATCCACAATCACAAACCTTCTAGAGCTCACTACATTTGTGATAAAAGGCTTCAATATTTGTTTTCAAACAGACGTCATTTAAACTGACTTTAGTAAAGCATTTCAAAAACTTGACCTGTTAGGTTTTCCAGTTGATCTGCTTAAATGGATTTCAAGTTATCTGAATGGAAGTCGGTCGCTGGGTGGGTAAGTCATTGCGACGAAGGCGTGATTGGTTGATCAACCTTGTCAGACCGAGAGGTCTTAGGGTGCGACAATAGCTTGGTAAAGTACTTTTCCTTCTGTTCTGCGATCACATCTTTGACTGGTAGAATGTTTAAGTCGCGATGTATGTTTTCGTTGCGAACGTACCACGGAGCCCCGGTGATTGTTCTCAAGATCTTCGACTGAGCTCGCTGGACTATGTCAATATTGCTATTGCTGGCATTCCCCCATAACTGGGAGCCGTACATCCCTATAGGTTTTAGTACCGAGTTATACAGCAGGACTTTATATTCAAGACTAAGGGGAGACCGAGCGTTGATAAGCCAATGAAGGCTACTGGCTTTTAGCTTTAGGTGTGTTCTTTTGGCTTCAATGTGCCGGCGCCATGTGAGTCTTCTGTCGAGGTGTACTCCTAGATATGTCACTTCGTTTGCTTGCGGGAGTAGAGTATGGTTTAACATGAGCGGCGGGCAGTTTTGCCTGTTCAGGGTAATTCGCCAATCTGATAGCCACTTTTCAACATCGACCAGATGAAGAGCGAGCTGCGCAGTTGCTTGCATCGGGCATTTTAAGCGGGTGATAATGGCTGTATCATCAGCAAACGTAGATGTTGTTAGTCGTGTGCTTGTTGGGATGTCTGCTGTGTAGAGGACATATAATGTTGGCCCGAGCACGCTTTCGTGAGGAACTCCAGCTCCAATTTTGAAATCGTCAGTTATAGCAGTGCTGCATTTTCTGTCGTAGAGGTAAGACTCTAAAAGCTTATGGGTCTTGATCTTGTACATTAGACCTTCTAGCCAAACTCTATCAAATGCTTGAGAGACGTCTAAAAATATGGCAGTACAGTACTCTCGTTTTTCGAACGCGTTCCGAATTTCTGATGTTATCCGGTTGACCTGCTCAATTGTTCCGTGCTTTTCACGAAACCCAAATTGATGTGACGGAATTCCTTCCTGGATTCTTAGGTATGTGTTTATCCGAGTCAATACGCATTTTTCAAAGAGTTTAGATAAGAATGAGAGTAGGCTTATAAGTCTATACGACGTTTGAATTGTGTGGTCTTTTCCTAGCTTTGCTATCATTATTATAATCGACTTTTTCCATCTCACTGGAAAGTGGCCAAGTTTTGCGATGGCATTAAAAAGCTGGGTGATAGTGCAAACGGCGCAATATGGGAGCTCAATGATCATTTTGGGAGATATGAGGTCGCAGCCCGGGGATTTTTTCGGATTGAGCTGATTTTTGATGATGTTAACGATTTCGTTTGGGCGAAACTCAATTTGTTCATGTTGAAGCTGAGGCTCATATGGTAAAGTCGCCAAGGTGAACGCACTAGTGGCAGGATTTGGTTGGAAGACATTTTTAAGGTGGTTGGCAAACGTGCTGGCTCTGTCTGCATCACTGCGCGCCTTGCCGCCTGTGGGATTTCTAATAGGCATCACAGTTACTTTCGGTGAGCTTAGAGTAGGGTGAGCTCTCCATAGTGAGTGTTTTGTACTAGATGTTGACAATTGCTCTATGTAGGGTCGGTGGACATGTGCTTCTTCTTGCTGTAAAGCTTTTGTGAGTTGACGTGAGGCATATTTTAAGCTTTGGCTAGCAGATGGCGATCTGTGGAGTTGCCACTCTCGACGTAAGCATCGCTTTTCGAGGACGAGCTCTTCTATTTGTAGATTTGTCTTCTTTTGGTTACTTTGCGTACTTGTAGTTTGGGGTGTTGAAATTCGAGCTGCAGAGACGAGTACAGACTCCAGTGTATTAACAAATCTGTCTACGCTGGCTTCATCGTTGAGATGAGGACTTAGCTCAATGTGTGAGCTAATGTATTTCTTGTACTTAACCCAATTGGTTTTCTGTGATGTCAATTTAAACGATTGCTCCAATGCGCCTGTATGTCGGAGTAGAATAAACAGGACAGGCGAGTGATCCGATGAAAGATCCGAGAGGCATTCGACGCTTATCAGATTTTTAGGAATGTTTTTGGTAATTGCAAAGTCTAGTAAGTCAGGTAGTTTCCTTGGGTCTGCCGGCCAGTATGTTGGTCTGCCAGGAGAAACATAGTCCAGCTTGTTCTTGGCTTTTATAACTGCATTATAGAGCTGTTTTCTTTTTGGAGTCACGAGACGTGATCCCCAGTGTGTGTGCTCCTAGTGAGTTGAAAAACTGCATAAACTCATCTTCAGCTATGGTGAAGCGAGGGGGGCAGTATACGGCGGCTAGTGTAAGTTGGTTGCCAGTATTTGTCTGTATATTTTTAGATGTGGCCTGTAGGGAATTTTTTATCAAATTTGTTATGATAGTGGTGCTTAATACGGCTTCTGATTAGAATTCCAGTCCCACCATGTGCTTTACCATCTGGATGA